AGAGAGAGAGAGAGAGAGAGAGAGAGAGAGAGAGAGAGAGAGAGAGAGAGAGAGAGAACGGCCTACAGCAGTTTGTGGCAGCTACTGGAAGCACTTAGCAGCAGCAGTAAACACTCGTTTACAGCAGCGGTGATTTTTCCCCTCCCCACACCCAAAACAAAGCCAAATACGTGCTACTATTGCCACGAAATCATGCCCGTCTCGGCACAGCGCCAGTGTGCTCTCCCTCTCTCTCTCTCTCTCACAGCAGGTGTTCCGCCCGGACGTTTACATCAGTTCAGGATTGTCAATGAAAATTGTGCAATGCTCTCGAAATTGCGCAAAGCTCTGCAACATTTTGTCTCGAAAAATTCCTGAATGTTCATTGGTTCTCCACAATGTCGAATGTGTTTTGTAGATCTGTCGGATGGGAATGTTCTGGCGAACTTGTTTTGCCTGGAGGGCCAATTATTGCGCACTTGTTAAGTGTTGAACGTTTTTCCAGGAGGGTGAAGTATGAGCGTTGACCTAATTATAAATAGCGAGCTTACGGGTTGAGGTAGGTGCTTTGGATGCAACAATAGTGTGCGAATGATGTATAAGAATGTTGTGAAGTGTTGTTATGGTTGAGATGTTTGTGAATGATGTCGAACGTTGTGAAGTGTTGTTATGGTTCAGATGTTTGTGAGGGCCAGGAGAATTGAGTGCTCTGCTTGTCTGTTCCTTTTGGCAATTCAGGAAGTTATGCGATGCGGTGTACACGAAGGTAACACACGACTCTACTTTTAACAAACCAGGCCGATAAAAAAGATGACACCGGGTCGAATTCAAATACCTGCAAACATGCAAAGCGGTATTGAGAACGTTTTTGTCAACAGCTCAAGGAACAAACAAACAGAATGCCTTCTGAAAGTTATGTGATTGCTGCCATTGCTGCGAAGGTTTGCAATTTCCGCAATTTCGGCAGAGGCCGACAATTCTGTCCATTGTTATTGCAGACATTTGTATGGCAGTGTATAGCTTGTTTTTGCAGTCCGGCTGGGCGCGTGATCGTCGACCACACCCTGTCACCCGAGGCCTCGACCATACAACTTTGCTGCGGGCGAACCGAATTTTGTTCAACGATAGCCAGGGGGCTGACTCTGGTCGAGAGTTTGACAAAGTTTTGCCGTTTCCATCACGGCTTTTGGACGAATGCCATGCTGGAAAAAATTACACACTTGTCATCGCGTTGTGCTGTTTTTTTTTTTTTTTTTTTTTTTTTTTGCGTCGTACGGCTGTCGTTTCATGTATTGTTGTTAGTGGAGAAATTGCAGTGTTTTGATCTTTGCTTAGCATATGTTCCGTATGACCTGGCGGTTTGCGATTGTGGTGAGAATGGAGGCAATTCAGCTCCGGGGCGCAGCTGCCTCGGGGGGCTTTTTGTCTTCTGCTTCCCATTGTGAAGGGGCATTACCTCTCGCCGATCTCTCCGTACCTCTCATCTGTGTCGCCCTCTGCGGCATTACAACTTCAGTGTCTGCTTGTCATCTCGCTGGAGCTGGACCTTGTAGGCTTCGACGATTCCGTTTGTTTGTGCCTTCAGCATTTGATTTTCTTCCTTCCTCTGTCTGTGTCCTCCATACACTCTCGCTGTTGGACGATGCATCATTCCGTCAATTCATTTTCATTTCTGCAGGTGGCTCCGACGAGCGTTGAGGAGGGAAGACTCCGGAACAGGAGTTTGGGTCCAGGTAAAAGGAGGGATGGCTGGACGCAGAGCAAGCGGATGAATCCCACCAGGTTTTGTCGACCATCCGTTTGCGGAAATGACAGTCAGTGAAATTGGCTCGTAGCCAGCGAGGGAGAAAGCGGTTGCACTGGAGACGACGCCAGAGAGACGGAGATCACGTAAGTACCAAGTGCTGACGGGCGTGGAAGTTAGAGGCGTGCGTGAGAGTGATGATGTCGAAAGGTCCTCTCACCGGTTCAAAGCTGCCTCGGCCACCACGCTCTGTGATTTCAAGACTGGAAACGAATGTGAGTACTCTTAGACGTGGCCCGTTCGTCGTTGCCTTTAAAGTGGACTGGTAGAAGGTGTCCCCCCCCCCCCTCCTGCAGTTGTTTTGGACGGCAGTCCACCTAAATTTGGCCCTTTTCTCCATTTATTCGTGTCATCCTTGCGCCGGGGCCATGCCAGTGTGTCTTCTGTATATCTTTCCAATTGTAATGGATGTCAAGAAGGACAGTCCACCTAAATCTTTGTTTGGGTGACTCTCGCGAACCATTACTTCCTTCTGGGCGATTCTTTGTCGCGAAGCCAAATGCTGTAGGCGAAGGCGATTTGGCAAGCACGCTCCGTTCTGTTATGTTCATGCTCTGTTCTGTGCTCGCATTTCTCTCTGTTGCCGTCTGCGCACGGAGCTAATGCCTTGGCGTCAATTGGTGCTTTTTTTCTGTTTATGTTTGGTTTTTGTTGTTTGCTGTCGAACGTAATCGCGTTTGTTTTGATGTCACGGTTAGACATGCCAGCAAACTTTCTTTGTATCTTAGTCTCAGTTCTCCTACGGTCCGGAAGGGCAATCTCTCCTAAGCATGGTGCGTATAGTTTCGCTCAACGGTTGCTGTCAGTTGCCAGTTATAGTGATTGTAAGCAGCGAGAGTATGTAGCACATTAGTTGATGATGGGAGATTGCTTGAAAGGATTCTAGACGACCACTGGAATATCTGAGAAGGGGTCAGTAACCTCGTGCTATGCAGGGAATTGAATGGCGGATTTGAATTCCCTTGTTAGTCTATAATTAATTGATGTGCGATGGAATCCGACTTCTGGGCAGTGCGCATCCAAATCCAACGTAGGGAGCTTTTTTCTTCCGTCCTTGGGTGGGCGTTACTTACTAAAAAAGTTAGAAATGCAAATCGGTTAGTTCGTAAAGTTTTCGGGCCTGGGGCGATCTCGTAGAGCTTGGTTCAAGGGAATTCTCTGGGTCTTGGCGGTCAGGTAACCTCGTGCTATGTAGGGAATTGATGGACAGCTGGTTTATGGGCCGTATTGAAGTCCCTCTTCAGCTTAGGAAATTAGTGGATGTGGAATGGAATCTGACTTTTGGGGAGTGTTCATCCAACTCTTCTGCAGGGACCTTTTCTTCCGTCCTCGTATCGCCGTAACTTCGAAAGCTATCACACCCACACATACAAAAGCGCACGCACGCAGAGATAACTGTTCTGCCGGCCTTGTGTGGCCGTTATTCCATAAGTTATCACGCACGCATACGCGTATGCACACATATACAAGCACGTGCATACACGTACACACGGGGGGGGGGGGGGGGGGGGGGGGGGGGGGGGGGGGGGGGGGGGGGGGGGGGGG